TTTTAAAAGGGTTATAGCCCCCCCTTTTGGTTGGGTTTTTTTCCGGTAAAACCCCAGATTTTCCCTTGGGTTTCGGGAAGGTGTGCCCCCCCCCCCCCCTCCCCTTAAAGCATCCTTTGGCCCCCTTAAGTTCCAAAAAAAAAAAAAACGGCAAAATTTTTTTGGCCGGAGAAATTTACCCCCAACCCACTTGAGGAAACCCTATGGAAAGGGGAAGCCCCCCCCCCCCCCCCCCCCTCCCCCCCCTCCGTTTGTCTACGCTTTTGTTTCGCGGATAGGGGGAAGCTACAACGACCGCCATCAGATGGGCAAGTGCACAGCAAATACGGGCGGCTCCAACAAAATCGCGACCTGCCCACCCTGTACACCCGGCTGGAAGCACGGCCCTGACGGCACTGTTGCTGACGGCGATGCCGCTACAATGCCATTCCAGGACATGGTCCTGACAGCAGCTGTCCTGATGCAGTCTCCGCAATATTACTCGACATCCAGCAAAATTGTCGTCGACCTTCCATACAAATCATAAAAATTATTGTTAACACGCTGTTGCTGAGCCATTTCGCTCAACGACTTCCACCGGCGAGTACATGTACAACACCAACTGCCACCCCCACACCCCTATCAGATCAGGCCACCTCAATGCGGAATGTCCCACCCGCGACTTCCACCGAACCCCCCCAATGAGCCACGTCTAGGGCCTCTGAGAGATGCCAGAGTCCACCGTGGACGACACCACCCGTCGCCCAAGGATCTTGGGTCGTGCCTGTTTTTGATATTGCACCGCAGTTTTTAAGCCAATCAGCGAATTGCGTGCCACAAAACCTGTTCTCTCTACCTCCAGCCTATAGCCATGGATGACCACGACTACATCCCAACATCCTCTTCAACAAAAACTGCCTCGTCGGCATGCCTAGAACATGCACGAAAGGCCTTGCATCCTCTCCGACAGGTGCTGAAATCTTACAGCACGCAGGAAATTTCAAACAGAGAAATCAACCGTTGAGAGAACGGAGTTTCCCCGAGCTTTTCATTTCCCCGCCGCGGTGCCGAGCGCCGTGCTTGACTATCCCACTGCGGCATCCAGCTCCGACAAGTCCTAGCGAGTACAGCGGGGACAGCGAGCACGCGCAAGATACAGAGCATCAGATATGCATGCGCGGCAGAGAGCCATCCGTTGTGAGTGTAGGGCTCGGCCGTCATCGGTGAAAATGACCCAACCCCCCCCTCAAAAAACAGTTCAGATCGTCGCCAGCAGATAAGGTTGGGGGGGACGCAAAACATAACCATGCCTCCCAGGCCGATGTAAAGAACGTGTGCTGGTAAGCATCGTGTTCGATGTCGGGAAAGCCGTTGAAGCAGTCACACAATGCGACACCAAGGGGACGTCTAGGAGTGGAATGACACGGAATTACCTGTCGGATACGTTGAGTAACGGTGCAGAAGGCAACACTCGCGAGGGCCTCTTGCACACTCGCGTCTCTCTAGATTGCCGAAACAGCCGCCCCAAGGGAAAAAATAGACACTTCTCCACGAAAAAAACACGAAACCGTTCTGGGACCGCATCAAATGGCAGGGTCAAGTAGCGTCCAACCTTCAGAGAACGCCTGCGATGAACAAAAACAAATCGGTTCATCGTGATGGAAAGGGCTGACGAAGGGGCAAACTGTCCAGCGTTAGGGGTAGCTACGGTGGCCGCACCTTCGGGGTGAACATCTTAGGCAACGCCACGAGGCGGACGACGATGAGAAGTCCGATCACGGACGGGAAGAACAGCGCCGTCCGTTCGAATGACTTGAGCGTCCACAGGAGGGTAAGCATGGCCGCCTGGTACCGGTACCGGTCATGTCGCCAACCGCGCGGATGCGGACGCACGGAGCCAAAAAAACAGGGCTGGGTTGATCGGGACCGACAAAGTTTTTCTTCCAGTACGGTTGCAGAGGAAACCTCGACGCTTCATGTTTGTGTGGGCATGTTTTCTGACAAGTGGGTCGACCACCATCGTCAAGGGGCCCGAAGTGCGAACAGCAAAAACGATCAATGGCAGTAACAGAACGGCAGTGGCATGACGAAAACAAGAAATACGCGGCAAAAAAAAGGAGCAAAATCGTCGCGTATCGCAAGTACCTGGACGGCGGTGTATTTGGCTGCGGTGCCGAAGCCGACCTTCTTAATGTCGCTCTCGCTCCGCAGCAGCTTCCGGTCAACGAAGACTTCCTTGCACCTCACCAAGAAAGCGTTCCCGCTCATCACCTGTCGGCCGGTCGTGACGTGTGCCGGGGGGGGGGGGGGGGGGG